TATAAATATTATGCGTGGATCTTCACGCCAAAAAGGCCCTCGTGACCGTCAACTTTCTCTGCAATGCCTGTAATAGCGCGGCCCTTTGAGGTGACGAGTGGATGGGGTGCAGGGGACGTCGGCTACGTGGCGATTGCCCTTTTTTACTGCTAATAAAAAACCCAGCTACACCACCGCCGCAGCCTTTTTATCTCTCAGTTCCCATACCGGTAGCAAAGATTTATTTTTTTTACTCGTATCTCCGTCATAAAAAATACGACTTCCGCTCGCCGTATGTGTCATATCGCGAGAAAATCGATACTGAGCCATTTGATCACGAAATATCTCCATATCTATCGCCCGGGGGAAAGAGAGCTCTAACATGGACTATTTTTTTTTATCGTTGCATACCATTAATATATTATTGTCGAGTATAGTCGTATGTCGCCAATCGTGAATATAAATCATAGTTGCAGGGTAGTGTTGACATTAGAATTTTATCAAGATTAATAAAAAAAAAAAATAAAAAACATATTGTATTTGTATACTTAGGCCCCCCATGCAAAATTCTTAGCTACACCACTATAGTTGAGCAATTGTTAAAATTAATTTACGAAACGGTCGTCTTATGAAAGAAAAATATATACGATTCATTCATTTTTTTTTTTTATACATTTATTTTGATGATTAAATATTGTGTAATATAATACTAATGCCAATACCTTGCCATTGTTCCAATGGCGGGTGCCTGACCTTAAAAATAAAATAAATTGCACCTAAAATTGTTGATATTATTATTCTATATTGTTGAATTTTATTCAAACCGGTCATCTGAACCACGGAGCAATATGTTTAATTATAAAAATTGTCTGCAGGTATGTGGGTTATCGACTAGATAAAATACGAATTTAATGTCAATATTTTCTAAACCATTTTATTTAAATGGACGGAGGATTAAAACTCATCCAGTCTTCCCCTTCACCATCTAATTTAAATTTATAATAATATTATGATTTGAGACGCACTGCGCCATAGTTCCGAGATCATAGATGTCTGGGCAATATTAACCTAACCCAAGGTCCTTGTATTTATAAAATATTGCATTGGATTTTCAAATCATGACGCCGACACTGTTTAAATACTAAATTGTCAATCCGAACTGTTTGTCGAAATTATTAATAACACAGACCGTTGGAAAAAATAATTCACCCTGTGAAGTAGCCGCGAAGTATATAATAAAGTCTGTAAAAAACGATAAAATATACTATATAATTATCTATATAATCGTTAAGCACTCTTTTTTTTAATCTTCCGTCGATAATAATATTACTAAATATAATATTGAGGGGGGGAGAGGCTTATACAAATTAAACTGGTGATTATAATAAGTCACGTTGAATCTGTTATAAACCACTTACCTACCAGGTATATATATGTTGCATATTTTATTATTTAACGTTCTGATACTATACAGTATTTTTCCTTTGCAATTATTCCGCTCGTTAAAACATGATTAAAATAGAATCTTAAGACTCAGAAAAAAAGCCATTATAGGGTTACTCGGTTTTGAGTGGCTGAAATTAAATAATCGCTTTACCTCATTTAAACCTCACAAAACTCCTCGCAAGGCTACAACAACAGTTGTAATATTATAACAATATTGTCACTTTGATTTTTGAAGAAAAATAAATCCAAACGGTGCGGGTGGATGTGTCGTATCTACTACTTTGGCATCACAAAATGATTTGGTAAGAACAAAATTGTTGAGTCATGAAACAGTTGCCCTTAGTTATACCCATGCATAATCTAATTAAACCATATAGCAATCTCGTTGATACATTTTTTTAATCACATGCTTTTAAGTTTTAATCTTATGATTTTAAACATAATATATCCATGATTCAATGATTCAATGTTTTTCCACAAAGTAGAAAAATATCTAATATTAAGAATAGTAATATCACAATATTATAAAATATAATCTCATTAAATAAAATAATGTTTGGAAATTGTATTTTAGATCATTATAAAGCAGCATTAGAACAAATAATACAGACGGCATTTTTTTTCTGACACATCGGTAAGACGAATATTGTATAATATACTGACGACCTTCTCAATGTCCGGGACACTCTAAAGTCTAAATACGACCACTTCTGAAGTGAAACGTTCAGTTTAATTTGTAACATCATGTACGTGTATCATAGCAGCCCATATGAATCTTTTGGATGCACCTGTAGTGAAAAGAAACCAATGATTTTAACTCAGTGCATCTGTAAGTTCGGTTCTTGATCTCCCTCGGCCGTCCTATAATCTAAATGTAGCTGGGAATAATAACTTGTGCCCAGGTCAAGTCATGCTCGTCTTCTGTCAAAGTATTCAAGATAAGGTTTTGAATTGATTTAAAAGTTTACTCTTGAGTTCTAGTGTTTCGCCATTAATATTATGAGTTTTATGTGCTTATAACATTTGTATTGAGTAAAAACTATAGATGGATACTTAATAACAAAATGTATAACTGAATTATATAAATATATAATATGGCATATGCACATGATTTTTATACGCTTCAATATATTATATATATTCTTATTTTTGAAAGTTTATCATTCTGTCTAAGTTGTATGAAATTAGAAATTACCTACTTCACTTTTAATACAGTTAATACAAATCCTCAATTTTAATATTTTAAAGCTGCAGCGTTTTATTTAATATAACCATCACACTTCAGAATAACAGTGAGAAACTTATGTTACTTCATTGTTATTCACTATTACCTATAAGATATATAATACAAAAAATTGCTTTATTCAAACAGTAAATTGTAATAAATTAATTTTTTCACTAAATTTTAATTTATGACTATAATAAATACTATATTTATCTATAAATATCAATCATTGTGAATTTGTATGATACCTACTTGCCAATTGCCAAAGTTAAAAATTATATAATACATAATACAACTTTTTTTTATATAAAACGCTTAAATTAAATAAATATTAAGTTAAGAAATACTCGATAAGGTCCGAATTAATAAATATTTTTATATTATTTTATATGACAATAAATAATTTCAAATCAAAAATAAATAAGTTCCGTCTTTATAATTCAAATAATACATCAAACGAATAGTAAATGAATTGTTCAATACGCATTATAATTACGAGTAATATATATTATATTCATTAAATTCATTGTTTGTTAGATATCAATAAAACCAAAGCTGAAAGTCATACTTAATAAATTGTTTAATGAATACAACATTTAATACCCTTACATAGACATATTATATTACCTATATAGTTCTAAAACAAACAGTTTTCGGTTTGCGTAAATGAATCGTGTATTAATAAATTCAATTTAACCGTTATGAAACGATCCAATCAATCTAATATAATAAATTGATACTTACCAAATACCAATAGTATTATAATTTGTTCTAATAAAGTAATAATCGTTTTATTTTGATTTGAATGATTTGATAAACACTATATTGCTATAATTGAATTCTATAATTTTATATTGATATGATATTATATTCATAATGCTACTCTGTTTTATAACACAGCAGAAAAATTATTAAGATTACACACAGTAATAAATTATTGTTAGACACATTGATAATATATCTACAAATTAATAACATTTATTTTCACCAATATAGCCAGTTTAGATCCTTAAGAACCGTTTTAAAATGTAATATCTACCCTTAAAATTATTATAATATATTACAAGCTTATGCTTCGTCAAACTATATTTATTTACAGTGTCCGTTTGTGAAATGAAACATACATATTTCTTAGGTTAGATATTTTAAAATTATTTGAGTGTAATACAACAATGTTTAAATTAAAATATCACGTGCGATATACACACACGTATATTATAATACATAATATATACGCAACATAAGCGGTTGTCCCAACCAAGTTTAATGAATTCCACGAGTTGAGAAAAACGGACTAATTTTTTATTTTAGCTTTTTTTAATTAATATAATACTCGTAAACGGTTTTAAAATCTTTTTTTATATTATGAATTTTTCTGTTTCCGTCCTTACACGTGTAAATATTCCAACTAGAATATCTACGTCGTCGTCCTCTACCGTTTCCGCAACAATTATAATGATTCGCACACTCAACCCTATCCGGTAAGTCGGCTTTGTATAGCGCCGTTGCTTTTAAAATTAATTCATCTTTATTGTACAGTAAAGTACGTGATTTTGACATTGGACGAACGTTATGAAAATAACAATTAAATTCTTACCCGACCAGCTAGTGAAAATATTAGCCATGACGATTCGATTTCACGGTGACTGCAATGGCGTAGAGGGACGAAAATTCAACAATTGACGGCCGAGGCCTGACAAAAAGACGTTTCGTTATAGCGTTTTAATATTATATTATTACTTATTGTGACTTATTGCATTATAATAAATACAGGGCATAGTGTTGAACAGAAAAGAACCGATCATGCAACTTTTAATAGAACATAATATGCTGATAATGTTTTCGGATAAAGGAGTGTCTTGTAAAATTACGTTATTTAATATTATTATTATTACTTTGTATATTAGTCGATCATTTCTTATTGTAATATCTTAAAATTTAAATGGCTAACTAATTTGATATTATATTTCGATATAATATTCTAATATAGTTACTGTGTGTGCCTATGTGTAAACAATTAACCAGATGCTACAGAGACGTATAAAAAAAAATATATTTATTTGGAACCATTAAACATAAGTTTTGACCTTAACCCGTAATTTAGATTTTCCAACAACCGGAACCGGAACCAGAATCTTTTAATGAAATAATCTAATACCGGAACCAGAACGGAAGAAAACACAAAAGGTCAGCTGACAGTCTCTGAATATAGATCCGTCTAGCAATATGCCAGTACGGGTAAACATTATAAAAAAAAAAAAACCGTACGATGAACGATAGTCGTGAAAATAGCGATTTTCCGCTTTGACCGCCCTCGAAGTCCTAGCTGGCACTCGACACCACCCTGACGTTACTTTTTCCATGCGTGTGTGGGCACCCCGACCAGCCCGTGAAGTCCAGCCTCGTCGTGGATTCCCGATCCGGCCAAAAACTCGTGATAGCATTGGAGCCACTGGATCATTTCGTAAGTGCTCCTGCACTCGAATGGCCACTGATCGCACCGGCGGTGACTGGGTCGCCTGTGCACGAAGATGGGCGGGAACAGTGGAAACGGTAGGTGTGGTTCGCCGTGGTGGTAGTAGTGGTGCCACCACACGTGATGGTGGTAACCGGGACCGCTACCGTGGTCGTGGTCGAAATCGTCATCGTCGTCGTCATCGTGCCCGATGTCGTGATAGTCGTGGTCGTAGCCGTGGTCGTGGTCGTCCCCACTGCCACCGCCATCGTCGTAGTCGTACACGACATGGTCGTCATCGTCCTCCGCGCCGTCGTAGTCGGGCACGCCGTCACCGTTGACCACCACAAACCGCGGACTCCTTGTCAAGACGCCACTGAAATTTCCGGCAGTTCGTTGCGGCTTTGCGGCCGTTGGACCAAGAGCGGTCATCATTTCGGCGTTGTCGAAAACGGTCCCAACGACGATCGACGAACAAAGGCCTGCCATGATTGTCACCACCGCATAGCCGTCCAACTATAATCGTTAGAAAAAACGAAATGAACTGTAATAAAACTCGTAATAACTAGAACCTGGATTTGGGTGCATGTAAATTCCACTAATAAAATTTAGTATAAGTAAAATAAAGGTACGTCGTAAGTTTTACCCTAACATTGGTACAACTTAAGTGTATGTAAATTGCTTCCAAACTATAAATTCAATTTAGAAAAGTTGAGCTTGTAATAAACTGACTTGAAGTTTTACCTTTCACAACCTTTTATATTATGATGACTTGATTACAACTGTAAATTCTCAGACGATATCAACACACGCACTAATTATTATATTATTTAGGTACTGGATTTAATAGCTGACTATTGAGCATTTGGTTCAAAAAAATTATATTTAAAGAAAAAAATAGTCGTTAAAATAAATAATATAAAAATAGTAATATCGTATCAAGTAGCAGCAGCAGCAGCAGTAATCAAATCAAGAGATTTAAGTAAGTGCAATATAATTGTGGTACCTACTTATAGACTTACAGTACCCAATTACCCATGTTAATAAATAATAATCATCTTATAAATATACACGACAATATAAATAACATAAAACTCAGTTACTCACCATGTTATTATGCTTCGTCGTCGTCAACACTTCAGCAGTTAATAATATTGTTGTTATCCGTTCGAGGAGAATGCAACTAACGATTTTTAGACGACGAGAGACGTTTTATATAAAATATTATTATGTCTTATTACCACCGTGTTTAATTGATTTTCCGTTAGAGTTGCAAGGTCAATAGTAAGATCACTCTACTACCACGGTCGATAACGATATTTATGTCGTCCATAATATTTACGTTGTTTCGACGATTATTTTTCATTACGCTTCCTCAAGACGCCCGGTCACGAACCACTGATGATGGCTGACATCGATTATCCACATAAATGTTATTTCGAGCTTAAACCTGATAAGAATGGGTTCCGACTTCCGCATCGTACTCCGAGTATTCCGCAGTGTCGAACTAATCATTTCAATAAACAAATAAATAGGCATGCCAAAAGCCTTCGCAATCGCGTTTACTTTTATTTATTTTTTTTTTTTCATTGTTTCTTTCGTAGAAGTTTACTTCTCCTAAATAATTCAATTTAGGACCTATAATCCTTGGCTGGACTTGGGAAATTATTAAAAAATATATGACGTATCTACCTACCATTCGTAAATATTGGTTATACGATGTATATATCGGTAAAGTACTGTGGTGATGCCCAGTTCACCGACAACTGACAAGTACAAAAAATAATGAAAAATGTATCATAATATTATATTATGTAATGACATATTATTATTTAATAGTGATGGGCAACAGTATCGATAATTCGGTACGATATCGATGTCGTGACAAATTTTTGATGTCGTTTTATTTATCGGGAACTTGTTTTTTTTTCTTATCTTCAATTAACTAAGTAAAGGTAATTTTTGAATTAGTAATTATTAATAGTACCGGAAACTCATAAAAATGTTGAAACTTATAACTTATAAGCATTTAAAAATAAAAAGTTAACGAAATTCGATATTAAAATAAATTTCTATTTAACAAGTTTCGTTATTTTGTCATTATTAAAAAAAAAAAAACAATGTCCTCACAGAAATACCTACAAAAACATTGAAAATACATGTGCACAATGTTTTATGTAGACCGAAGTTCGACATTCAAATGTATGATAAAGTTCGTTAATAATATGAAAAATTACAAATTATAATTATTGATGTGCGACCATATAGATTTGTGTATCGATATCGTTCCGACTTACGATATTGTATCGAAAATACACATTTTAAATATTATCTACTTAGTACTTTTAAGTTATTAGTTATTACTCATTACAGTTAATAATTTATATAAATATAAAATTAATAATTATTATTTGAAAAATTTCCTTTATTACCTAATTGAAGATAAGAAAAAAAACGAGTTCCCGATATACAGAACAATATCGATATTGTTATCGTATCGAAGTATCGATATTGCTGCCCATCACTTCAAATTATTTTCATCATCTATAATAGTAGTATTGATAGTTAAACGGTATTATCAGTTAACAATATTCGTAGTCGACAAAATGGAAAATGTTTATCAAACGATAAGAATTGGATTATTTTTTGGCAAACTGGAAGTTACGACTATTTGAGTAATACGACTGAAATACGCACCTGTGGCTACATTACAAACTACCTAGGTAATAGTTTATACTGTGGTCGACGCCTACAAGTTACAACTATCACTGTAAGGCTCGACAGACATGTCAACTAAAGTTTAATTTTTCCTATCGTCGCCCCTCGGGCATGGACAAAAACGATATAAAATGGACAGTGTAAACTATTATTAAAGCGTTTATTCCAAGTCTGGGAAACGTTTTATGCTCAATATCATCTGGCTGACATGTACGCTTATTTAGTCATGCCTATAACAACATTATTATTTCGTCGAGTAGTCTACATCAATGCATTTTCATAAATTCAAATCTCTCACGTCGTTTATTATAATAATGTGGTTATATTATACTGCATCACACTCTATACAATTTATTCAAATCGTTTTTTAATCGTATATTCAAACTCTTTAATGCCGTATTTTCCGTACAGTTATTTTATTTTATAAGATATAGTCGCAACACATAGATAGACATGCAGCTCACAATTTATCATTGAAAACATGAAGATTTAGAGTACATTTATGGTGGATTTACCTCTACTAGCAGAAATCACTCGTGTGAAAATGTTTTATGAATATTTTAACATAATTTACGTCGACGATGTCTTCAGTTTATTGTTGTTAGCTACAGTGAGTTCCGTCTTAACTATTATAACTGGAAAAAAACAAACACAACAACAACAATTGGACTGAAATAAATTTAAAATTAACAAAACGTGAACGATGAATATACACGCGTGTTATTATTGCAGTTAGTCATTATAGTATATTATATAATGTTATAATATATGAGAGAAAATGCGTTTGTACAAAATATATTATTTTAGCCGGAAAGTTTCAATATAGGTATCGTAATTTTGCTCACAAAATGCACAGCTGATATGTTTTTAACGGCATATTATTTAGATATTTATTTTTGAAAACTATTTATGAACAATTTTCAATAATGAACTCGTTCGAGAATTGCGATGCTCATAATATGTCAGGAGCCCATTAATATTGAATAAACAATTTAAAATTCCAAAACGTGTACAATTCTACAATTCAGAATTTGAGAATGACAACATAATAGCGTATGTTGCAGGAGTATACATAATATTATGATATACAAACTCGCCTTCAGAGCACAGTTTGTGTATTATTAAAATGGGAAATTATTCGAAGAAAAATCGATTTAAATAGATATTACATAATAGAAGAGTAAATTTTTTACAAAACAATGACAGATTCGTATGTAACTATCAAAAGTACAACGATTGTCATATATTGTATAATCGACTCACCCTCTATGAAATAAGTTGTAAAATAATTTTTCACCGTTTACCGTTGAGCGCAATATTTATTTTTATTTAAAAATAATATAAGTTAGCTTTTAAATTTTACAGTGAAAATAACTTAACAATTTATTCGGATATTTAAAAAGCTAAATCCATTTTGTACGACAATCGACCATTTAGGTTAATGAGCGTGAAGTTTTAACAAAAGTCACTGTGAAATAGGAGCTGTATAAAAATTGATTTTTAATTTTACTAGTTTACTAATTTGTTTTGAACTTCATACAATACGGAGGGCAGTAAATATGAAAGAGTCTTTGTGAATATATTCAGAGATAAAAGTAATTTAACAACTAAGTATGTGCACATAATATACCAAACACTAACGCTGACATATTGCGACGACGCACAAATTGCAAGTGAATATTAATGTGAACTATCGTGTGATGTGTCATATTATAACTTAGTACGAAATAATTGTCCTATATCAACATGAAAACACCATACAATATTACAAGTTGAGTTTCGATGTAAATTAATTTCATACTCCATGTAAACCGTAGTTTCCACGGCATCGGCAAACGAAATAAAAAAAATAAAACAAGTAATTCTTAAACATTTTTATTCTTTTCGCCCTCTTAGTCGTATAGCATTTTCATATTAAATAATATAATATAAATATATTAATCACACTTTAATTCTAACATATAACATGACTTCCAATATTATTTGGTGGCAATTTTAAGTCGATGGGACAAAGTGGGGGAAAATTTCATATATTTCATGTTTTCTGAGCTTAAACTCTGAAAATATTTTAATCGAAATAATTAAATTAATATATTTTATATACTAGCACGTGTGCATCTAAGCTTTGGGTAAACGAAACCGTATAACATGCACTGATAATATTATATTGTATGAGGTTTAACATATTATACATATACACTATACAGACGGTGATGGCTGAAGTTGTAAAGTCTTGCTATGGCCGGGCGATATTGACGTAGGTAATAAATTCAGCGAATTTTCGACAAGAGTTTTGTTAGTTCAGACTGTTCGATGTTTCGGCGCAGACTTTGATATTATTTTCGGTATATCTTATATCACATTGTATAATATTATACAAATGTAATTTTATTTTCTAAGCCTTAACGTTAGTCTTTCTAACATAATAATATTTTTGTCGGTTCGAAATGTATTTTAGTATTTGGTATAGAAAAGAATAATAATATTATATATATATCGTGTAATGTAATATAATATATAATGGCTCTAATGCAAAATCATCAATTTTAGAACAATATATAATATACGGTATACACAAAAAGAAGCGATGTTTAATAAGAACAAACAAAGGTTTTTTTTTTCCAGTCCGAAACGGCCGTCGGACAATTATTATTATCATCGCCGATCCAATGTAATCGGCACAGTTGTTTTATTCTTGAAGCCGGTCGCTGTATTTTTCGTCATCGTTTTTACATCATGAGCGTTATTCTTCGTCGCGCCTCTACAACACAACTCTACATAGCCGTCCCGGTGCAGTATCGTCTACCATAATAATATATTATTATAATATCTATATATATAGCCCGTGTGTGAGGTTAACCAACCGGCAATAGCGTATATAGTCCTCGACTCCCGCTGTATGTACGACGTGTATATAAATATTACAAGAGACCATCTCCGACGAACGTATATAATAATGTACGCATTATTATATATATATGTGCTGCAGTGTTCGACAGGGTGAGCTCGGCCGTTAGAAACGAATAATACTAGAAAAGAATAATAATATTATATATATATCGTGTAATGTAATATAATTATAATATATAATGGCTCTAATGCAAAATCATCAATTTTAGAACAATATATATACGGTATACACAAAAAGAAGCGATGTTTAATAAGAACAAACAAAGGTTTTTTTTTTCCAGTCCGAAACGGCCGTCGGACAATTATTATTATTATCGCCGATCCAATGTAATCGGCACAGTTGTTTTATTCTTGAACCCTAATAAGCCGGTCGCTGTATTTTTCGAGATCGTTTTTACATCATGAGCGTTATTCTTCGTCGCGCCTCTACAACACAACTCTATATAGCCGTCCCGGTGCAGTGTCGTCTACCATAATAATATATTATTATAATATCTATACTGGGTGATTCTTTTATCAAACAACACTCATTATTTCAAAAAGTGTAAATTTTTTTGTAAATATTTTTTACATAGTTTCAAGTCGCTTATAAAACAACGTTTTTTAAAAAAAATTATATTTTTAAATATTTTTTATCCTCATAATTTTTTATGTTTTTTACTTTTTTAAATGACAACATAGGGTTTTAATTTTATATTCTAAAGTAGAATATTTTTCTTAGTATTTTGATACATTAAAATCGAATTTGAGGCGAGTAGTTTACAAGTTATAAGTATTTAAAGTTTAGACGAGCGGAGTGGAGTGGTTCGGGGTTACCCCGCGAAATGTTTGTCCACTTCACCGCTCATCAAACTTTGAATATTTATAACTCATAAACTACTCAACCCAAATTCGATTTTCATGTATCAAAATACTAAGAAAAATATTCTGCTTTGGAATATAAAATTAAAACCCTATGTTGTTATTCAAAAAAGTAAAAAACTTAAAAAATTATAAGGATAAAAAATATTTAAAAATATAATTGTTTAATAAAAACGTTGTTTTATAAGCGACTTGAAACTATATAAAAAAATATTTTCAAAAAAATTTAAACTTTTTGAAATAATGAGTGTTGTTTGATAAAAGAATCACCCAGTATAGCTCGTGTGTGGGGTTAACCAACCGGCAATAGTATATAGTCCTCAACTCCCGCTGTATATGTACGACGTGTATATAAATATTACAAGAGACCATCTCCGACGAACGTATATAATAATGTACGCATTATTATATATATATATGTGCTGCAGTGTACGACAGGGTGAGCTCGGCCGTTTTCGCGGTCTGTCCCGTCGACCCTGCGAGTGGTTCGTTATCGCCGGGCGGACGCCTCAGCCCACCCCCCCCCCTGCGCACATTATATTATGTTCGTGTTTCGCACTCCACGCGCATTTCCATATCTTTTTAGATTGCCTGTAGCCATTTTTTTTTTTCGTCTTTGGGTATTTTTTTTTTTTACAATTTTCTCTCTTCCCCGACTTCTGCGAACATCGTTTCCAAAAGTCTCTCAATACCACTGCTACATTATTATTTTTTTTTTATCTTTTTATCTCTTTTCGTAACAAAGCGATCGTAACCTCGAATATTATTATTATTATTCTTCGTAAAATAGAACGCCGCACGCATAAACTATACGCCTAATATCCGCTCGCATTTATCTATATATGCGTTGTCTATCCAGATATACGTCTAGTGCGTATCTGTATGTAGTTTAGTTCCGTCTCACGACGTCTTTCTCGTTTATTTTTATTATTATTCGATATTTTTCGGAACAAACATTTTGTTTGCATACTATTATAACATTATATTACGTCGACTATAAAAATCAAAGTCGTAAATTAGACGGAAAGAAGTAACGTACTATTATTATGGTTTACAATTATATGTATTGTATTTTGGGCATGTCTGACGAACCTACATACTTTATAGAAATTAACTGGGTTCGAGAAGAGATCAGTCAAATACTACATACAGACCTCTCGTAGTATTTTACATCTGATGGTTTTATTTTCTGAACAAAATAATTATTGAAGTTTTTTTTTTTTTTTTTTATTGAACAAAGAATTTATATTTACAGTCAGTAAAAAACGTTATAAAACAGGTAAATTTATTGTGGTTTGATTGACGGGATTGGGAAGTCACCCAATGGCGGCACTCCGTGGAACTATTGATGAATAATATATTATTTTACAATAATGCGATTTTTTTCTAGCTGTCATCACTTTCAGGAGTGAAAAAAAAATGCTTCAATCTCAACCTTGAACATGGTTTCTGGACTTCTGGTATTTCTAGTTAGTACTTGTGGAGGATGAGATGGAAAAGTGTCAAAAGAAACAATAATTCTTAGTACATTTTTAAATAATTGTTGAAAACTACCAAAATACAACGGAAAAACGGAAATATTAACGAAATACCAGCTTTGAACGAAAACAATTTTCTTTATTAACGTTTTATACAGAACTGTTAGCATTAAATATTTAATTTAGCATTTTTATAAATATATAAAGCGTTTTATATATATGATGAAAAATATAGATTTTTCCTGAAACGATTTTATTTATGTTTATCGTAATTAAAAATTATTAACCATAATAAAGAAACTTGAAATATTCCAGATACAGTAGAAATCGGTTATAACGAGTTTCAAGGGCCAACTAGTTTTTCTCGTTATAACCGGTAACTCGTTATATGCGGTTAGAACGAACATTCGTTGAAACCGATTAAAAGCGGAAATACAAAAATAAAACCGACTTTTTTTATTTTAGACAAAAAATTTTTATTTACATACATTATTTATACATTTATTATTGAATTTATTATTTAACTTGAATTGATTTAATTTTTATTTAATTTCTTAAAATAATCTTTGATCGAACTTTGCTTCGTGTTAGAGTTGATCGATGTTTCTAAAAAAGACAACGCTTTTCTTTCAGCATCTGTACCTTCATATTTTGTGTAATAAAATCTTTCTAGTGTCCTCAATGCAGCACGAGCTTCGGATATTGACGGCACAGTTTCAAACTCATCATCAAGCTCTTCAATATCAGTATCATTATCTAGCTCAACTTGTTGGTTGGCTATGACATTGTCGACTATATCTTCATCTGTTTGAATTTCTGACGTTATTAGGTCGTCATCAATCTGTAAGTAGTCTTCGTCGATGTTATTAATCAATCCACTGTCTGCTTGTAGCTGTGTAGTATCGGTCATAACGTCACAAAAACCTGCATGCCGAAAACAATTAGCAATCCCGTGAAAAAAATTTCATTTTTTCAGCCAGTTGGTCAATTTTTGTTTGCAAAATAGGACCACTTATAGGCACATTCAATGACCGTTGTTGTTTGAACCATACTAGTGCAGCTTCTTCAAGGTCCTTATGCTGTGCAGTGCGCAATCGTTTTGCGTTAAGTGACGTGGTTTGAAACATATTTTTCAACTTATCCTTGTTCTTCCATATGGTCGAAATTGTCGACGAACAGGTACGCTTTTATACTATAATTGTTTATACACAATGAAATTTTCAAAATATTTGACTACATTTAAGCTATTTATACCAGGAATCCATTTATACCATTAAACGGTACTAATTTATAATTACACATTTTTGTCTTAACTATTACTGAAAATTCGTATAGATTAGAATACGGTTTTAAGCTCGGTTTACTATGTCGTGATATAGAACAATTTTCCTTTTTATTTTTTTGATAATAGATAAAAGGTCATATTGTTGATATTATATAACAACAATATAATGAAATAACAATATTTTGTGTAATTCAATCTTAAGAAAGAAACTGTGTAACCATTATTTTGCTACAGTCTAAATAATGATTAATAATATAATATACTCTTATCCAATATTTTGGGTCATCGAAACCATTTGGTCAAACATGATTTTTACAAAAATAATAATTGTCCAACAACCCACACATTGGCATAATTGAAGGAGTTTCGTAGCCACTCATATTATATGTTATACACAAACACTTTCACACTGCAACGTTGTAAATCCGAATCATTGCTTAGCTCAGCATCTAAAAGTTTAATAAACGAGGTGCATAATATAATAAAAGAAAACACGGACTAGTCATTATATAAACGTTCAACGTTCAATAGATATCAATTAACGCGGGGACTAAAACAAATAAACATTTAAAACCGTTTCATTTGTTTTTCATTAAAATAGCTGTGACTCATTAAGTTTTTCTATTTGCACACTATAGGCGAAACGACCTGATAAATTAAAAAAATAAAGCGATCGGTAGATATATTAATAAATATTAATAAATAATAGGTAGGTAACTAACTAACAATTATCTAAACATAATATTGTGTAAAGGTAATCACGACATAAGAATATACGTAAATAATGTATGTAAATTTCAAAATATTTACGTTTAGATTTAAAATAGATCTACTAAAATGTTTTCAAATTTTTGTCTATTCAGATGTAGTCGGAATATATTTTTAATGAATATTATAGAATAATATATCCTAGAAAATAATAGTTGGTAGGTACTAGGTACTATGTTCATTTCTAAATTTTATAATCTTTATAATTTTGTTCGAAATATTATGCATTTTTATTTTTCAATTTAGCCGTACGACAACTGTGACAGTGTAAATTCAGTTTGAATTCAAATGTCCTTACTAAAAATAATATATATAATAAATAAGAGGCTTATGTTAATATAATTACTATTGCTAATATAATCATACTAGATATTATATGAAGGCTATTATAAGCTGAACATCTAGTATTTTAGATGTACATATTCTGGGTGTAAATCAAAAATAATTAAAACTTAAAAATAATGTTACATTTGTCAAAATAAAATAATGCAGACAACCGCGTGTTTCAAATATTCATCAGTTAGAGGCAAAACGTGTTGTTGCAAAAATTAAAATCAAGCACAACCTGCACAGGACAATTTAATAATTATTGCTCTCAAAAGATAATAATATCATCATTTCACAGAGGATTTTGTGTTTTGTGTATTATGTCATGGTAAGATATTTTTTAATATTTAAATATTTAAATATTTTGTATGTTTTATTAATTTATAAATAATAATTGTTAAGGGCCAGACCTTCCAATTTACCGCTTTCCGTTATGACTGGCAGTCCCTTAAACCGATTATGTTTTATTGTCACTCATTTTATTCATGACCGAGCAAAACGACGACCTTGCATTATGCTTATTCAATAATTATGATATTTGAATTGTTACCCGGAGGATAATAATAATATATGTTAAACGTTATATTATGTAACTTTGAAATTGTACTAGCAGACGAGCAGCTTATATATTATCATCCTACATATTTTACCCAACTTAAATTTACAATCATTTGGTGATAAAACGATATACATTTTCCCTCGAGGGAATGATGATAATGACCGTCGACAGAAATTCCACAGAAATTGCAAACACCACTTTTATCTGTAACCATTTAAAATTTCACGGTAATTATTAGTACCACCGCGATTAGTGGGCATAATATAGGTACCTATTCTTCATATTTTAAAGTAAGCATTTCTCATTAATTATGTAATGCATAATAATAACAATAAATGTACGTTTATATGGGGATTATAGACTTGGAAACTTCACAACCGATAATAGTACCGAGTTTTGCAAGTGGGTTCCTGGAGACTAGGGAAGTGTCTTTTACTTCGTTTTTCAACCCCTATAAGTCGCTATAGACTGGCTTAACGTGAATTTCGTTTTGAAAATCGAATATTTTTTTTTAATTTAAATATATAGCTAGGTACGATGTAAGCAATATTTCTTTAACATTTTGCAATAAGCATTGTGATAAAACTTTCATGAAATATTTCAAAAAAATAAATTTCATGAAATTTTAGAACCCTATAACATATCCGTTGCTATTGAATTTTTTTCAAATAAAATAATAATAATTGTAGTTTATAGACTCGTAAACTACTCGACCAATTTCGAAGAAAATTTCAGATTTTTTTCTTAGAAATAGTATAAAAAGTGTTTTGAACCAAGTTCCAAAATATACCATGTGCTATATATAATCTGGGTCGAATTAGTGCAATAAAGCGAGGTTCACCGATACCGATTTTCTCGTGAACTGAGATACTTACACTAAGACTGAGATACACCAATAAAGTGCCGTATTTTATATTTATTAATTTTTTCACGGGCGAAGTCGAGTAGGTAATACAAATTTTCCATCAAAATGTTTTACAATCGGACTATTGATTTAATACTTTTAACTTATAATATTGAAACGTGGTCACTATTTGCATTATTAATTATCAAAAGTACGGTTTTTTATTTCTTATAAGTTACTGATAACGATGTTTTCACTGCAGCAACAGAAAACCATCACAATATTTAAAAACCATAATATAACTATATGTTTGGTGAGATAGAAAACATGTCAAATATACAAATGCGCTTGAATTTAAGTTTCTTTTTCTATTTCCTTCTTAGTCAGTGAAACATATATTTGTGTACCTTCCTTTTGTTATTGTTTGAAAAATTATATTTTCCAGCTTAACTATTTAATAGGAGTAAAATAGTTGAAAAAACATTATTTACTACAGTCAATCTACTTTAATATTAAATTTTGATAAAAAAAAAACAAGAGAGAATCCACACATAATAAGTAACATTTCAAAATAATAAATCTTAATCTAGTTTTTTTCATCAACCTCATTTTCAATAGTTATCAAAATGTGTACATTTTAGCGATATATCAAGAAAAATAAAACTTAAACGACCTATACGAACGTTTTGAAAGTTTTCATTTCCACTGCATGGAATGAGTATGTTAATTATACATCTTGTTTTGTTTTATTAAAATGTGCTTTTCGGAGAGTCGTGCAATCAAAAATAAAATATATAATTGTAGCTTAAATAGCTGTCATATGATATTACTCACAACCCGAGATGTCTATTAATTTATAACCCAATTCCTGGAATATCATAATATTTAATTTTTTTTATCCTCACCTGGTCGTCTGGTGAAATTAAATTATTTATTTACAAAAACGCGTCCAATATTTCCACAAAAGCTTCTAGTAAAAACCACCAGAATAGGAAACAAAATTCAAAGAGGTGAACATACATTTTATACCTACATTTTTTTTTTTTTTGATAATTTTAATTTTTTTTATTGATTATGAACAATGATAAATATTTTTCGGAAAAAAAAATCTTTTGATCTCATAATAATATTTTGACCACAAATGGTATAAAAACCAATAACCAATATAATGTATACTATAATACGCATCCTTTATTTTATGCTCAAGTCATAAAGTAAGAATTGTTTAGAAAATAATTGATATATTTTTATAGTATTATTTACAAGTAGTTCGAAGTTCGTTTGACGTATAATAGGAAACAGCATGATGAATTTGGTGAACAAAAGCTCCAAATTGAATCAAACAAATCTTTTTAGCTGGGAGAGTGCGGTCAGTCAGACGAGAACACAACTTTATGACTATAAAATTTTGATGAGATCGACAAAGCAATGCTTCCGAAAGTTTCCTGAGGCTATATATCAAAGACTAAATAAATCATTGCAACCAAATATTCTTTACTTCAGCAACTACTGCCGAAGTCAAAGAAAGAAGTAACTGCACAAGTAAATATAAATTCGTATTAGCATTCAAGTATTGACTTCCAAGTTTTGGTGCACGCACCAAACAGTGTATAATATTTTGTTCTCAGAATATCACCCAGAAATATTACAAAGTATATATTATATTGTACGATAGTATTTCAAATCGATATCATCAACACGATATTATGTTAGTATACACATGACAAAAATTAAAGATACGAATAACGTTATTATTATGATCGGTTGGTTTTTTACGATAAATATTTAGTTTGAAAAGGTTACAAAACATACAACACTAAAATACGTATATTTTTAAGAGTTTTAATTTAATAATAATTAAAAAAAGAATTTTAAAAATAAATTTAATTTAAAAGGTTAAAACTTTATCAATATAATATTATGTTAAAGGCGCCCGGTGCCAATGTAATTTTGTACACACAAATATGCTCTACGGGAATAATGATCCTTTTTTGTAGAATCAACTAAACTTGATAATTTTTTTTAAACTAATAGAGTCGCTTCGAACTCCATTTTTCAATATTTTAATCTCAAACTTTATACGTTATATGCCTCCGTCTTACAAATATACAACATGGCAAAAACTGT